ATACCATACTCTACCCCAAAATGCCTTTTAATTGTTGATAAGGATTTATTTTTTATTTCGATAGTGGCAAATACAATTTAGGTATTTAGCTTTTATGAGGGATACGAAAATACTGAACCGGGCCTGAGGAAGTGTGAGTTCTAGCGTCTTAGATGGTTTCTTTCCTTGTTTTTACCCATGCGGTGCAGGGGTCGAACGCAAAGTGCTTCAAGCTCTGCGAGCGGCCTGCCTTTGAGCCAACCTTGTCCTAGTACTTCATTTAAATGCACAAATAAAAATAACTAATGCATGCTATCGAGCCCCACTATAGGACATCTTTCTTGTCCTTATCCTTTAACTGCTCTGGTTTGTACCATTATCACCCAATATTTGCATAGATAAGGGCATTGTATTCGTTAGCTGCCCTGAGGTTTAACATAGAGCCACTGTTTCTGCTCTTAAGTAATCTTGAGGTTTGTGGGGGTTGGTGGCCCACCACTTAATCCCAGAGGCAAGTGGAGGATCTAAGTTCAAGGCTGGTCTTCTACATAGGGAGTTCCAGGCCAGATAGGGCAACAAAGTCTTTAAGAAAAATACCTTGCAGTTCCCATCAATGACCATATAGCTGTTTACTTGGGATAAATTCCAAAAATTGACAGCACCAAAACATAATTTTGTGTTCTTTCTTTGGCACTTAAAATGTGTCTTTTTCTGAGTAGGATGTGTTTGTAATAGACATTTCAAAATCTGTGTATTTGTCTGATTTTATTGATTGTGGAGTTCATCAGATTGCCAAGTCTTGTTTTGTATGGCCAAGAGTGTAAACTATTATTGTATGCAAGGGATTGTACTACAAACTGCTACTGAGCTCAGTCCTTTAGAGGTCACTGTCCTGAGTAAGGCTGAAGCATTTACCTAGTGTGATTTTGTTTAAAAGTCTGGAAAGTAATGATAAGCCCATTTTCTTATTAGGGCATTTCCCCAGGTGTGGGGGCTGGAGAGCTGGTTCAGTGGTTACCAGTTGTTCAGGACTGGGGTTTGAGTCCCAGCACCCACAGACACGGCAGCCCACAATTACCTCTAATGCCATCCCCACAGAATCTAATACCCTCTTCTAGCCTCCAAGGGTACCAGGCTCACATGTGTGCAGACAAAACACCCATATACATTAAATAAGATTAAAATAGTTACTTCCCCAGGTTTAAAATAATCTTAAATCCATTTCTGCTTCCCCAATTGTCACAAAGAATGAAAACTCTCAGAAAAATATAGCGTTAGCCACATGAAGAACTTCTGACGTTAGGTGCACAAAATGCCAGACACCACAGAAGACAGAAGAGTACTGCAGTTTTAGCTCTGCCTTACTTACCGTTTCTCAGTATTTATTTTTGTTTTGTACTGTTTATGTCTGGTGTTGATGGAACCCAGGCCTGTGGCACCAAGCACCCACTTTTCACTAAGGTACACCACCAATCCATCTCATCAAAGTCAGCTTGTTAGGCAAATGCTCTGCCACTGAAGCAGATTTTCGTGGAGGAGGTATATCACTAATAAGAGTAACTCCTGTATACTTTTTGTCAACACATGACTTTCAGTTCTGTTTGCTAATTATTGTACCTGAAGTGAGACTTTTCAGCATACATTGGTTCAGCCTCTGCTGCCTGAACCTTCAGTTTGGGTGGAGAGGCTGGTAAAAGACTCTCTCTTTGTTGTGTGGGAGGTGTACAGGTCCAGTGAGCCTCTTGTATTACAAGCCCAAATTAGAGGGGACATAGCACTCACTGTATGAGGCTTCCTGATTTCTAGTATGAATGTTGAAATCAGTGGTGGGTTTGAAATAGTAAATCCATCTAAAACAAGTCATCTTCAGTGTGGAGAAGTCTCTCCTTCAGGAGACCTGACAGATTATCTCATTCGGAGAGATGAATGAGATTTGCTCTGGAAAAGATGTGTTTTCACCCATGCATAAATAATCTCCACATATTCTAGAGTACGTTTAGGTTAAACATGAAAGTAGTAGCTACAGCACTCGGTGGGGGGGGGGCACATTCTCTGTACTCTATTTCACACTGAAACTTTGTGCTAATGAGCACCTGCCAGCCCCTGCTAGTGATCCTGGGCCTGTTAAAAAGTGTATCACGGTTGGAGGCTGGTCTTGGAGGTGCATGCACACCTTTAATCCCAGCATTTGAGGGGCCACAGCAGGTGGGTATGAATTTGAGACAAGCCTTCATAGTGAGGTCCAGGCCAACCAGGGCTACATAGAGACCCTGTCTCAGAAACAAAACACAGAATTTTTAACAGGGTGAGGGAGAATGGAACCAGTGGCTGCCCTTAAAAGTGAAGAACTTGTGAGTTGGGCAGTCACAATGGTTCGTCTGATTCCCTTTCCAGATGCATACCCTGCCCACCCCTGCTGTTCAGGGGTAGGCATTCATTAGGATTGGACATGGAATCCAACTGCCTTCTGCCATTGAGCTTATACCATTAAGCTACACCCTTTAAGTTTGATTTCAGAAACTGTTGCTCTGGAGTCAGCTTTGGAGACCAGGCAGGCTGCTGTGTGCATTTGAACCACAAAAGAAAAGATTTCAGGAGATGTCCTGGAGGGTCACATGGTCAAGAGAGGCTGGGCTGTGAAGGAAGAGTGGGGTGTTTCCTTTAAATCTTCAAGGAAAGGAAGACCAGTTCTAAGGCAGAATTTGGAGTGATAGGCCTCAGAGATGTGGGCTCCAGGCCAAGGGACTGGACTCCTGTAGACCTAGCAGAGAGAGGCTAAGAGCTCTTCCAGGTCCTCTCCGTATCTCTTGTGTTATTTAGGAGCTTCTTATTTGAAGTTGGGGAGTGTAGAAATGTGCCCATCTTGTGCATATTACTGGATTTACCAAGACTGTTGTGAGCTGCCATGTCCCTGCTGGGAGCCCACTAAACCTCAGCCATCACTTCAGCCCTGCCAGTTGTTAGTCTTTCTTTTCCACCACCCTATTTTTTGAAGCTCAGCTGCATTCTTTGAAAGCTGGGATTGAAATACTTTTTACAGAAGGGACAAGATAATCCAGGCTTTGTGGCTGTGCTCAGCATATCTCAGAACAGTTGGTAAGCAAATGAATTGGCTGTGTTTTATGAGAGCAAGCTTTGGGAGCACTGGACTTGGCTAAATAGTATCAGTGGAGCCCTGGTCCTCAGCCACTTTCCACAGTGTTCACCAACATTAGTTAGTTGACTGTATAGACATTTCTGTTTATGACTTGTAAGTTTAAGAGACATGCCCTGTAGCCTGTGTTGGAACCTTAGGCTTTCCCATTTGGAATGTCTCTTAAAGGGTGCTCTGCTATAAATACACTCTCCTAGCCTGCTGGTGGAACTGCACTGAACTACCTGGGACCAGGTGGTCCCACTGCATGTGTGTATGAAGCCTGTCCCAAATGATGGCATACTGGCAACAGCAGGGCCACACTGGAAATCCAGGCAGCAGTTAGGAAGAACAGAATTGGTTGTGCTGTGACTCAAGTTGTTTGGTGAACAAGCAAGTTACAGATACAATGGTACTCTTTTGAGCTAGAAACATTGAATGTGCTTGTCCATGTTTTTATAGAGTTCATGTGTCTGAATGTGTGGAAAATGCCTGAGGTAGTGTGTTTGTTATGTTGAAAACACCAACTGCCAGGGGAGGTGTCTTGGAAGAGCCAGGGTGGGGCTGGTGAGTTCAGTTTTAGTGGTGATGTCTCAGGTTTTTACTAGGAAGATGTATTTATAGTTTTTGCATGTTTTAATTTACATAATAATTTAAAAACAAAAAACAGCTGCATCAGCCTCCCAAGAGCTAGCTAAGCTGAGTGAACAAGGGAAGACAGGAAGAGAAAAGGATGTGTGGGTTTAAATGGTCACATCTTCCACCCATTCTGCCATTCTTTGTGAGAGGAAGACTCAGCCCAGAGAGGATGTGACCTTTAGGGTTAGCTGTGGGCCCACTAGTCAGCCTTGTTACAGTTGAGAAGGAACATGACAAGATGGATATTTATTTATTTATTTGTTTGTTTGTTTGTTTGTTTGTTTGTTTCTGAGACTCTATAGTCCCTGTTGTTCTAGAACTCTTGCTGTAGACCAGACTGGTCTAGAACTCACAGAGATCCTCCTGCCTCTGCCTCCCAAGTGCTAAGATTAAAGACATGTGCCCTGCCATGTCCAATGAGTCTTTTAATTATTGTTATTAAATTTTTATTTATGCTGCACAATATGCTTGCTTGGTGCCCAGAGGCCAGATGAGTGTGTTGGATCCCTAGAACTGGAGTTACAGACAATTGTGAGCCATTGTGTGGGTGCTAGGAATCAAACCCAGGTCCTCTGGAAGAGCAGCCAGTATTCTTAAGCACAGAACCACCTCCAGTACCAACAAGATGAATTTTAGATGTGACAGAACAGCTGCAGGGTGGGGGTGTGGGGAGCAGATGTCATAGAAGGATCTGGGCCATTTATTCTTTGTTTAAGGATCAGCTAGTCCATGTCCTTGCTAATGGCTCTGCCATTTTTCTGTGTTAATCCAGGAGGAATTTTGTTGTCAGAGACTAACAGGAGGTTGTCCATAATTGACTTTAAGCAGCAAACAGTAAAACCCTGAGCTCTTCAGCTCCGCCTTTCTTGTAAGTTTATCCTTTATTCCCAGTGGGTGTGAAAAGTAATAGAGTTGTATGGTGCCATTTGCAACCTTAAACTCTAAGGGTTGTTCTCCCTTAAGATAAAGAAGCCGCCATTATGGTGGCAACTACTTCCTTCTGCTGAAATCATTATTTGTTTAAAAATAGTCTGCTCAGGTGTGTTTTATATATGGTGATGCTTTTGTCTGTACTCTTTTCTTCTAGGCTCTGAGAAGTGGAAAACCAAGAAGGTTTGATGTTTTGTGTGGCGCCTCCTGAATTAGAAACCAAGATGAACATAACCAAAGGAGGTCTGGTATTGTTTTCAGCAAATTCCAATTCGTCGTGTATGGAGCTTTCAAAGAAAATTGCTGAGTGAGTTCCTGTTTCACCAGTCAAATCCGTATGTGCTATGTGATATTTTAAATTTGATAATCAGACTACCGCTGATTATCAAGCTCGAAAGCAGGTATAGCCAAGCTGCATATCATCTGAACATACTCAGGGCTACTGTATGTGAGTGACCATAACTCCTAGGAGTGTGGTAGGCACCACTATAGATAAATTATTAGAGTCTAGCAAACAGGATGTGTGTAATATTTGCAAATAGTTTACAGCTTATAGTTTAGTGTAATTTTTAGAAACTGATTAAATATATACCAAATCCCTGCTGTACATAAAACCTTGATCTAGGTGTTGTGAGTTAACAGTGAGCAGGCCAATCAAAAGCTTTCTTTTCGTGTAATTTACATTTTAGTATGGGAGTCAGACAAGCAAGCTAAGACAACCAACTAGGTAATTTCAGGTGGTAACAAGTGCCAGGAAGAAGGCAGTGAAGGCATAAGGATGGGGTAGAATAGTCTACCTTAGCTTAGGTACTCAGGTACCTTTTAAACCAAGGGATGTCTAGGATTTGAGAGACCCAAATAAACCATCAGATGAAGGTTAGGGCAGAGCCACCCCTCTATGCAGAGGGAGCAACAGGTTTCAAGGCCTGTTTCATGTAGGTGTTGGTGCCTGTGGGGAACATGGGCTGTGGGGCAGGAGAGCCAGATTGCATAGGCCGTGGGTGGTCATGGGGTAAGGTCAGGGGTAGGCAACAAATAGATATGATATAATATTTAGTTTATTTCATAATTAGAATAATTTTTACTTTTGTCAACTTGTAAGTCATCTTTAATAGTAAAGATGTTGGGTCTATTCTGTTGCCTTCTCAGCTTTTCCCCCTTTCTCTTCTCTAGGCGGCTGGGGGTGGAGATGGGCAAAGTGCAGGTTTACCAGGAACCTAACAGAGGTGAGCTTCCTTGGACATATGTATTGTGGATCTTCTTGCAGAATGTGGTGTAATGGGTCATCAAGTTATCCTTGACTGTAGACAGTTAGATTCAGTCATATAGTCAGTTCGGATAGCAGGAAGTCAGGCAGGCATGTGGAGGAATGTGGTTTTTACTCCCTTCTATTACCAAATTCAAAGATCCCTGGTGCAAGTCACATGTTGGGCTGGAATGCTGGTTCTTAGGTCTCATTCAATAAATACTGCATAAGTGTGTAACTAGCTAGCTGGTCAGCTGGATGGAAATGTTAACTGTTGGTTGAGGTTATTTTGCTGTAGGTAATATGAATAAGTACTGTGTACCTATGCTTTTAGTTTGTAGGTATGTGGGCATGTGCAGAATTACATGCATATCCGTGCTCATATGTGCTGCATTATTGAACCTAGAACTTCATGCATGCCTACCTACTGAGCTGTACCTCTGACCCCAACTGGTCTCTAATGCTAAGAGTTAATGCCTTAAAGTGTTGCTAGGAAATAGCTGTAAGAAATGTTATTTAATCTTTGGCATTTCTTTAGAATGGTGTGTATTCCTAGTGAAATTATCCTAGCAGGGTAGTGGTCACTTATATGGACATGAGAATCTTACTCCTAATCCTTGGCTATTCATGAATGGGATAATCTCTGTACGTGACATAATCTTCTGACGCGTAGTAGGTGCTCAGTAAGCACTCTCTTTTCATTCAGGATTTTGTCCAGTATTTACATCTTTAAAAACTCTCACCAGAACTGCTGCTGTTCCTCTAGTTTTCCTAGAGGTGATTGAAATGGGGGAGGTTCTCTTCAGGGAGACAGGATGATGGAAATCTGTGGGAGGATGGGGCTGTGGGACAGGCAGGTTGGTTCACTCCCCAGGCTTCGGAGTAAGGAAATGGAAAATCCTTGGTTTATGCAGCGAAACTAACATGTATTCCTTCCTTACTGTTCGTAAACACTAAAAACCTGGGTCAGGGATAGATGCAAGGTCCCTCAAGTAGCAGCACCAGGACTTAGATACAGATTTTGACTCTAAAGCTCATCTGTAGCATCACACCATAGTCTTTTGTAAGCACACACACATTTTTTTCTGGTGATTTTGTTAGTTTTGAATCAGTGCCTACTGTGTAGTCCAAGCTGGCCTGGAACTCACCATGTAGCCAGGTTAGCCTCAAACTTGAAATTCTCTTGCTTTAGCCTCGTGAATGCTGACAAGTGGGCATCACCACACCCAGTTCTCTCTCTCTCTCGCTCTCTTTCTCTCTCTCTCTCTCTCTCTCTTTTTCTGTTACTGAGATTGAGCACAGAGCCTTGAGCAAAGCATTCTACCACTAAGTGACATCTCCAGCTTGCCAACATCTTTAATGAAAACTTTCAAACATATGAGATAATTGAACAGTATCATGACTGGCCATATTGATGTCTACCATGTCGGTCTGGTGTTTTGCTATCTGAATACTGAATACGTTACATAATCCCTAGATACCTGGTCACATCTCCTACATATAAGCTCTTGTACATAAATAGAATACGTTTGTCACATTTGAAAACATTAGCTATAGTTATTTTTTGTTGTTGTTGTTCTTGCTAGTTTTATATGATTCCTAGCTTCAAGTGATTGGATTTTTCCATGTTTAAAAATTTTGTTTTTGAAGCTGGGTGTTGGTGGCGCATGCCTTTGATCGCAGCACTCGGGAGGCAGAGGTAGGTGGATCTCTGAGTTCGAGGCCAGCCTGGTC